AAAATTCTAGTCTGACTTCAGTTTTTGGAGATTCTAAAGAGCTCCACGCACCCCCTTCTCTCTCTTCTTGCCCTTTCATCTGTAATTTTATCTGTGCTCTCTCTATCTGTTTCTAATATTCTCCAGAGGGTGAGAAAAATCAAATATCTCCTCACTCCACATTTTTTCCCAAGAGGAGCACGGCTCCTACCTGGTTTGCAAGACCCAACGATGAAGAACGACCTTGCATCACAATAAAAATTGTAAGGATAGTGCAGGCGATAACCGATGTGTTGGTCGTAGGAGCCTTGTCTGCAAATTAAAATACAAATATATATTGATTTTCGTCTATTTAAAAAAAAAAATCTTTCAACTTTTATAAATCTCACCCACACTTTTTTTTTTATTTTTTATTTTTTTAAATCTTACCTACATTACCGTCATGACCTTTACGGCGCTTTAAGTACTGTAAAAACAAACTAACTCATGTTATACTATACCATATATTATTACGACACTCGAAATGCCGCAATAGTATCGCAAACTGTAGACCCTAATCGAAACCATTTTCTTCTTTACCGTTCTGTTTGTATTTTATCTTTTTTTTTTCTCTCTAATTACTTTTATATTCTTCTATCTCTATCTAATTCTTTTTAATACTTCTCTTCTTTCTCTCTCTAAATCGCCAGAGAAAAAAAGATTTAGAATGATAAATAAAAGATAAATATTAAAAAAAATTAAAGAGAGAAAGAAGAGATAAATATAAAAAGAATTATAGAGAGAAAAAAGAGATAAATATAAAAAGAATTAAAGAGATAAATATAAGAAGAATTAAAGAGAAAAAGAAGAGATAAATATAAAAAAAATTAGAGAGACGGTAATAATACTTCAACTCTTTACAATATATAAAATACCGTATAACATGGGCTAGTTTTTACGGTACTTAAAAAATATTTGTTATAATTTCCCATAAAATAACCAAGAACCCAATTTCATAAATTTGATAACCAAATAAGAACAATTGAAAAGGGAACCCAAAATCTTGAAATCTTGGATTTCAAAAGGAAAACAAGAGATCTAAGTGATGTGTTTTTGAGGGGAGTGGAATACACAACACCCAGATGGCCCACTGTTCATCTTGAGAGAGAAAATGTTGTTCATCTTGAGAGAGAAAGTACAACAGTTGTTCCACCTCCTTTCTCTCTCTCTCTCTCGAAAGTACAAACAGTTGCTCCACTTATTTTCTCTCCTTCCTCTCTCTTTTCTTCTTCTTCCATTTTCTCTCTCCAACTCCATCAAACATGTGCAGAAAAATACATATCAGTATAATATATAATTTATACATGGTAATAGCTTTATTTGGATTTTTTAAAATTTTAATATTTAGACTCTGTTTTGTCAAACTAACCCTTACAGTCTCCTTTTTATTTCTTCTTATATATATGTGTATATTCATTTTGTCACTTTCTTGTATTTTTGCCATGAGTGCAATTTGAATTTCTAAAAAAAAAAAATCCATTTCTATTTAAGATTTGAAACACAATTCTATCTGTTGGACACCAATGAAATAGCCTACAAGTGTTGCGTCATCAATTATTTTAGCATTGCACCCGTATGGGTGCGGTTTGTATAAAGCCGAGGCTGTAAACAATCCAATTAGAGTCCACTTTTAAATAGTGTCGTTTCACTAATGAAAATATTTGATTAACCTTAAAATATATTTTTATCTTTAATTATAAAATTTAAAGCTTCAAAAATTGTATAGATCGAGCAGATATATGAAAACTTAAATAACTTAAAATTTGACGATCCAAAAATGTGATACAAGATGCACTATTTCCAAAGCTTGAAATTCGTTGTTTTCTCAAGTCCATGCATCTTGATTTCACGATGGTCAATTTTTTATGTAGGCTTTAATTTGATTGTTGAGATGTAGCCTTTAATTTGATATAGGCTTTAATTTGATTGAGAAATCAAGTCCAAAGCTTGATTTCTCAAGTCCATGCATCTTTAATTTCCAACGAATTCCAAAGCTTGAAATTCATTGTTTTCAATTTTTGATGTAGGCTTTAATTTAGTCATCAAAACAACCTCATCTAGTGAAATTTTTGATGTAGGCTTTAATTTGATTGTTTAGAGCCTAGGCTTTATATAAACTTTTCCCTTTTTATGTATTACACCACAAAATTCAGTTATGGAAGGTTAGTACTAGGTTCTAGGATATCGAATACGGGCAAGGCTTGGGTTAGGCTGATCTAGGCTTACAGGTGGCAACAAGTTGGACCCAGATTCAGACTCGACTAAAAATCAATATAAGTCGTGGGAGGCAAGGCACGACAGGGGGATAGG